ACTGCCAACAAACTTCTGGACTCGGCAAAGGTTTCATTCTCTCCGGGAGCAAGGAACACTCTCAAATTGCTCCCTGAGCAGACAAGAAAGGCCACTCAGCTCCCCCAGCCCTCTGGTTCATCTGTCGCTGGACATCACTGTCTAGAGGTAGGAGGGCAGAGGGCCAGGTGGGCCCATTGGCAGGGATTGCTTTAAGACAGAAGCCTGGTGTGTAGGTCCCTGCTTCTGTGCATCATAGCCTCAGGGTGACAGAGGCAAAGACAGACACTCTCACTTCCACCTGGCCCCTTTCCTTGGAGACCCCCCTCTCTGGTAACCGGATGACCACATTTCCAGGCAGTTTTAGAGGTTTCTATTCCTAGGCCCACTGAGGTAGAGGCTGCCTAGGGAACATGCCTTGAATTTGTTTTTCCCTCCTTTGGGGTTGAGGATGGAACCCGAGGCCTCATTCACACTAGGCTAGTGCTCTACCCTTGTCCCTAGTCAGTGACTCTGGATTTTTATTTTCAGTCCTGCAATGAAAAGAATCAATAGGGGGTTGGAAGTTTGGCTCAGTGAGTAGAGTTGCCAGCCAATGAGTAAAAGCGTCAGGTACCGAGTTTGAGTCCCAGTCTCAGGCCTAAAAGAAAAGAGTTATAGATTCAGGGAGCTAGCTGTGGGTGCTTCTCCGAGGGACAGTAGAGGAGGGAGCTGGTGCCCTTCCTTATAGGGAATACTGCCTTGTCTCTCCTGTCCTCAGCTCCCTACTACTCATGGGCTCCAGCTTCTGCATAGCGCCATCAGGTCTCACAATCTGGCCATCCAGGGCTTACGGACCTTCCTTCCACCATCTGTTGTATCACATCCAGGCTGGTTGGGTCATATCTGCACGTGGACCTGGAAATGGGCACTGCTGAGTAAAGGCCCTGTCCCTCAGCTGCTGGTCCAGTTCCTGTTGCTGGCAGGGCTGACACTTGAGACCAGCGCCTTCCTGTGACTCTGCCCTTCCGTGAACTGCCCCACAGTGCACAAGCCAGCAGCTCAGGCCTGCCACCCCGCAACACAGACCCATTCAGAGCTGCATCTCAGTGGTCTCAGAGGGCCTGTCTGCCACATGTTTCGGCCTCCATGTGGTGACTATTCTTAGAAAAGTGGGAGAAAGTGGCCGGAGCAGGAACCTGTGGTTTTCATAGTTAACCTTGTGGCTCTAATCTCCCTAAACCCACTCTATCTGCACCTGGGATCTGTACATCCTCTTTCCTTTTCTCTGTCTTGATCCTTTTGGCTGTTAGGATCCAGTTCCATTGTTTTTACTCGTTCAGTAAATAACTGCTGGGGCCAGGGCCTGCTGGGAGCTAGGACCTGAAGGTAACTAAGACCCAAGCAGCCATCCTGTGCTCCCGGCCCAGTGGGAGACTAGACCATGGAATCACGCATGAAGCAGACTTAGTATTGTGCTCCTGGGCACTGGGCAGGTGCGATCCTTTCCTTCATCCCAAACCTCCAATCATAGTAATAAAAATGGTAACTTTTTTTTTTCTCTCTCTCTTGGTCGTGGGGCTTGAACTCTGGGCTTGGGTGCTGTCTCTGCACTCTTCAGCTCAAGGTGAGTGCTCTACCTCTTGAGCTACAGAGCCACTTCCGGTTTTCTAGTGGTTTATTGGAGATAAGAGTCTCATGGACTTTCCTGCCCAGGCTGGCTTTGAACCATGATCCTCAGATCTCAGCCTCCT